TAATCCTCTGTGCTTTAAGTACCCCTTGCATATTTTTTCCTTTAGCATTTATCCCTTTGCATTATGACTATGTTTTCAAATGCCCACCCTGTTTAATCAATTATCCAGTGAATATTATTGACCACCAATTGTTTTAAAAGACTCTCAATTTTAAATACATTATTCAAATTTAAGCCTTTCTTGAAAGCAATGGACGCTTTCCCCCAAACACATTCACACCCATGAGCACTAACCTGACACCTATAACTTCAGGCCTTCCTGGAACTCCTAGAGAAACCCACCAGGATTTTCATGCAGATCACGTCAAATCATGTGGGCATACCACAGGGTGATAGACTCAGCCACCAACTCAAGTCACATATGCCTTCAACAGAGCTCAGTACCCACTGGTTCAACCAATACTCAGGACCCAGCATTTCCCAAATTTAGTCTTCAGCTTAGATTTTTAACTTCTGCTCCTGCAAATGCCTATTGGGCTTCTCTATGTGGCTACCCAACAGGCACTTCCCACTCAAGGTGCCCTAACCAGCTCCCTGGAGCAGATGCTAACGGTGCCCCACCCACATCCTCTAGAAGCTACCATCTCAATGTGCCCCACAGACGTCCAGCTGCCAGTATCTTCTCTCTGTACCTGAGGAGGACTCTGCCTATGCTGGGTGGCAGGCTAGGATTACCAGAAAGTCAGCATTCCCTGGGCAGCCCTCAACCAGCTTCCTCACCTCTTTGTTCTGAAGTGGGTGTTTTGTACCATATCTGGGAGTTTACCCATGGACTTAAGCTTCACAGGGGTAACTGGCCTTAATAACATACCCCCATTGGCTGCCATTCCTCTGTCTACCTCTCCCACACCCCTACCAGTGTTTCCTTCACCCTCCAAATCAACTTTCCGCACTTGAATCCTTGTCTCAGAATCTGCTCCTGGGGGAACATACAGCATTCACCATCTCCAGTCCCAAATCTGCTTCTTTTTCTAGGACTTCTATCTCAGTGACTACACCCCCAACCCACCCTGTCACCCAGTTCGGAAAGCCAGGCCCAAGGTGCCCTAACTCCTCCTGTCTCCTCCGTCACTGAGTCCTGTCAATCCTGCATCCTGAGTAGAACTTGACTTGAGTCTCCATCTCTGCTGGTACTACCTTGATTCAAGCCCTGATCATTGCCACAGCCTCTTTTACCTGGTCTCCCTGCTGCCTACGTCACTCCCTCGAACTGGCTCTTCATACCCGCGAACAGAGTAGGCATTCCTCAGCCAAGATCTTTCTTGGTCACCCATGTTTAAAGTCTTCATTGGCTCCCCATGGACTACATACAAGTAAAAGCTCTTTTATAGGACATACCAGGGACCTCAGCTGCCCCCGAGCCTCCTCCACGACCTGCTATTCTTCACAAGCTCTACTCCAGTCTCACAGAATATTTGCAGCCTCCAGAATGTGCTTTGCATTCAAGTTTTGGTGTGTGCTCTTCCTTTCATTTGTAATCTTTTTCCTGTACTTTGACAGACTCCTATTTATTTCTCAATGCCCAGCTCTTGTCACCATCTCTGTGCAGTCTTTTCTGACTGCCCTGCCCCATGCCATTCTCTAACTTTTCCTGACACGGGGCTATCCCCACTCCTTCAGAGTCAACCTAGTCAATGGGATAACTCCTCATGCACCACATAGTGTCACACTGTATCATTAACAGTTCATCTACTGGCCTCTGAGCTCCTTGAGATCAGCAACTGTCTGTTAACCTTCTCTCTAACCACAGTCCTTAGCTCAGTGACTGGCATACAGCAGGGGCTTAATAGATGTTTATTGGATAAATAAATGGATCCTACACCTGGCAAGTTTGTGAAAACTAGATTATGAGGAGATCCTATATTAGAGAAGTAAGGTAAGGATAAAAGAATCAGATCTGAGATGGAAAATTTCTTGAGTCCTTACATAAAATCAACAATACTAAAATTACAGATCTCAAAAATCACCCTGAGCAGCTCTGGAAGAATTTTTTGGTTCTTTCCTGTTGTTTGAGCACATCTTTTCTTCCCTCCATTTTCTGGGGCATCCTTTAACTCTATGAATACAGGTATTCCACATTAATGTCCTGTTTCTATCCCCAGACATCTCCTCCCCCTGAAGACCTGCTCTGTAATTATGGACTTCTCTGTTTTCCTTCTCTCTGCAAAGGCAGTCACACTGAAAATACAGAGGGTGCCACTGTACCCTTCTTTGGGACCATAATGCCTGTTTATTATGCATTAATCTGAATCAGTATAGTCCTTCCTGAAACCATAAGCACCTCAAAGGGCAGCAAATATGAATCACAACTGCCAGTGAGGATAAAACATTAACCCAGGGTTGTGATGAGGCCAACAAAAGAAATAGGCTAGTAATTGCCTTCCAGGATATCAATCCCTACCTTATACACACATACCCCCTCAGCACACACAAAACCTTTATGGATCTTTCATCCATGAACTTGCCCAATTATAATTGCCCAGCTGTGTCTTTAGTTGTATTCAGGCTAGGTCCTGGCAAGAGAGACCTTACATACCTGATCCAAGGATTCAGAACAGTTATGAGATCTCTAGAGGAAGTTTTTGGTTACTAAAATGGTAGAAGACACATTCACAGACAGATATTTCCACACATATCATTAATGAATCCAAGTTGATTTAAGACCCCAAGAACCTGACTGAAACAAGTAGGAACTGGAACTTTCTGTTGATGTTCTTTATTATCAATTCCTTTTTTAAAAATATATATATATTTTTTATTTTTGAGAGAGCGCAAGTGGGGAAGGGGCAGAGAGAGGGGGACAGGATCCAAAGCAGGCTCTGCGCCGATAGGCTGACAGCAGCGAGCCCAATGTGGGGCTTGAACTCACAAACCACAAGATCATGACCTGAACCCGACACTCAACAGACTGGGCCACCCAGTGGCTTTCCAGTTTTCCACTCAGTGTGTCTTTCTGTGCCTCTGTCAACTGAGTACTTTTTAATTTAACTCTTTTTTTTTTTTTTTCCAAAAGAGGGAATTCAGTATCAAGGAAGGGTACCACCAGAGCCTAATTCTTTGTTAGTAGCAACAGGCATAGTGCATGGGGCCCGCAATACTTTTAGAAGCCCACAGAAATGTTTTTATTTCTTTTGAAATCAGAAGAAAAATTCATCTTCTAGGTTGAAGAAAGTATATTAATATGTAATATTAATATATTTGTCTTTACACCAAAGCAGATGTAAAATATAATTTTTAGGTATTTTTTTTTAATGGAGGAGGGAATCCACTAAAGGCAAAAGTGCCCTCAGAAGTCATAATGTGGCCCTGGTTTCTACTACATTATGCCTGCATCACCAAGGTTAGAACAGAACCTCTGGAACACAAGTTCAGGTTCCCTTACTAATTTTAAACTTGCCAGGCTGCTCTCTGTGTCTTTCACATTCTGTGTGGCCACCTCAAATTCTGCAAGAGAGAAGTTGTAGTTACAAGTCACAGTGTTGGGATGAAGGATTGAATGTGCCGAGGATAGCTAGATTCAGACGCTCTCTGCTCCGATTAAAGTAACTTCAGTTCTGCCCTTCTCTCTCAAATAGCTTCATCCTGTTGTGATTTCCAGAAAAAAAATCTTTACATCTTTAGGGATTAATTAAAGCAGTGTAGTTGCTTCCTTTGCTCTCTTAAAACGTTTATAGGATTTAGGTTTTTTATTTTATTTTTAAATGATCAATAGCACTACTAACACCTATCACTTATTTACTGTTTAGCAGCCGGATATTCAATCATCTCTGTAACTCCATGTCTCAGCCCCAGTGTCTGGCAAACACCAGGTGTTCAAGAAATGTTAGATTAATAAATAAATCACCTCTCAGGCAAATTTGTGGAAATTAGATTGTGGCCGTGGGCTCATTTTGTCTTTAATAATCTCACACCTTGTGAGAAGGATCTTCTAGTGTATCACATTGGCATTTCAGGGGGTGGTCACTGGGCCCTTCCCACCTCTCTCGCCTCCATCAGCCAGCCACTTCCTCTCTTCTGGGCTCCGTTCTGGCTCCTCTTCATCGTGGGGTCTGGAATGGTCCCCAGCTCGCCAGTTGGCAGCAGGATCCCCGCTCTGCTGGCCGTCCTCCGTGTCCATCCCCCCTCCCCTAGCCCGCACCTCGGGTGCCCCTTCCTCCTGCCACCCTGCGCCGCCTACAGCCACGCCCTCCCCGTGGGCGAGATCACCTGTCCCTCCGCCGCCGCCGCCTCCTCGGGTACCCTCTCGCCCCCCTCCTGCTCCCCCTCCTCCGCCACCTCCCCCAAGCCCTCCCCTTCCCCGCCTCCTCCCACCCCTTGGTGTATATAGTAAAGGCCGGGCGCCGCACGCAGACACACACTCGTCCGGACACAGGCGCACACACACACACACACGCACAACCGGCAGCGGCGGCGACAGCGGCTCGGTGACAGCGGCGACGGCGGCTCCCACCGCTGTGCACCCCCTTCAGGCGGCGGGCGGCGAGGCCAGACCGGAGAGTTCCCGCACCCGCGACCACCCCGCGGCTTCCTGGAGGCGGCGTCCGCGATCGCGAGGTAGCCACCGCGGTGCCCCGGTGCGGGCCGGGGTCCCCCTCCCCCGCCCTCCCCGTGCGGACCTGCCACCGGGACGCAGGGGGCGCGTCGGGTTGGGCGCGCCTGGCGGGGCCCGGCGCCCGGGGAGGGGCCTGCTCCCGTGGGCAGGACGGCGCCCGGAGGCCGGGGCCAGCTGGGAGGGCCAGGCGGGGGCGGGGACGCGGGCCGAGGCCGCCACCCGTGCGGCGTCCCCGGGCCCCGCTCCTGCTCCCGGCGCCGCGCACTGGCTGGCGGGGCCGGAGAGGCGGCGCCGGCCGGCGGGGCGGGGGCCCCGAAGTGGGTTTCGGGCCGCCACCGGCGCTGGCACCCGGCACAGAGGGCGGTGCGCGGCGGACTCCGCGCCGGGGCACCGCACCGGGCCGCCTCCGGGCTCTGCCGCTCTGCCCCGGCCCTGAAAACCCGGCGCCTTCCAGGCCCTTCGAAAGATGGATTCTGTTGACGTATCTGGCGGCCCTGGCGAGCCGGGTGGAAAGTTGGGTTTTGCCAGATCGCACTGGGCTTGTCTTTGTGACGTTCGGCCAGCCCCGCATCCCCCCGAAGCCGGGTGAGTGTGCGTCGGCGCCCCGGGAGCCTTCGAGCCCCCCAATGCCCAGACCCGGGGTGGCCGCACCAGCTCGGGCTTTCTGCCATGTTAGGCACCGAGCAGCGTTCTCGCAGCATTTTTGCGTGCGTTTCGGCGGCGCCTTTTGCTGCGGAGGGAGTTATAGCTTCTCTCCGCGTTGGCTTTTTCGGGGTTGGGGTTGTGCTCTGTGTGTTTGCTTGTTTGCCGTTTAAAGCCCGACTATTGTTCAGGATAAGCTCCGCCTGGGTGGGGAAATGGCATCCCACCACAGTTGCCGGCGAGGGGTAGAAATGTTGCCAAACAGCTGCTGCTTTGTGTTTCCCTATCAGAAGTCCCTGGAGTAGGTTTGGGGCACGACGGATGGATAGAGAGAGGGATGGGGCACGGAAGAAAAAGGTGGCTTTGGAGGAGCGAATTGTCACCCACCCCATGGCATGCAGTCAGCCACCCTTTCTGCCTGCCAAACTTTTATGAATATTCCTTTTGTGGCAGGGGAAAGCTTAATGAATTCAGCCCAGTTTTCCAGGGAAAAGCAATCCGGCTTTTAACAATGGTTTGAGAACTTAATCAATGAGAAAGGCAGGGGGAGGAGGAGGCGCTGACACCATATCGGGGATGTGGCTGCTTCTTGCAGAGTCAGGTAGGGGAGAGGTGGGCAGGGCAGAGCACAGCTCCTGGGTGGCCGAGTTCTGGGAACTGTCGTCGGTTGCTCTTACTTATGCCCGTCGAAGCCACCCCCGGTAATGCCCCTATCTCTCAGTCTGCCCAGCCCTCGGCGGTGAGGCTGGAGGGGCGCCTTGCGGGGCGCCTTGCGGAGGGGCGCCTTGCGGCACAGCGCAGGCCGGCCCCCCTCATCTGGCGTTTTTAAGGATGTGTAAATATTTTGCTGAGGATAAGTGACATCAACAGAATGATATTCCGCAGAGCCCGGGTGTGCAGCGATGATAAATAGATACGGCCAAACAAAGTTTTGATAACCGCAGATTCTCATGGCTCTCTCTGTTTCATTTGGGTCTTTGTTTTTGTTGGTTTAGCATTATCTCTCATCCTCTGGTGTGATCCCTTTATTCAGCTGATTTTGGAAGCTTCTCTTTAGAACAGAGAGAAAAGCAGCCAGCAGGGAGAAAACAATTCTTAGCCTTGCATACATCATGCAAGGTTTTCTCTGCTTTTCCCCAGGAATCTTTCCCACCCCCTCGTTGCCTCGATGTCTCCGTTCCTCCTTTTGAGTCTTCAGAATCATTTGTTGATTGACCAAGAGACTTAAGATAACTTAGAAAATGTATTGTGATGTGCTTTTGTTACGGTAGAGGGGTGGCAGTGTAGGAGGGGGCTAGTGGGCTGGGAGCTGCTCTCCAGGCCAGCATTATGCCCCCTCTCACTGTTTTGTCTTTTGCATTTTCTTCTCCAAGAGGAACATGGGGAGCTGTGCCACTTTCAGAAGCCGGTAGTGGGCTGGAAGGCACAGAATTGTAAATCGGGTGACATCCCAATTTCTCTGCCCCTTAGAAGCCCTGAGAGCCCACCCACCCAGCCCCGAATCCACAGACCCCATAAATATCCTACGAATATTTATGTCCACTTGTGTCTCATCCCAACTGATGCCCACTAGAGGCATTCCACTAGAGGTGCCGCCCAGGCACCGTGAGCCAAGTCAGACTGGAACTTAAGGTATTGGACGCTTTGGCACCAGCCCGTGGGACCTTTGGGGAGGGTGGTGAAGATCCTTTATCATGCAAAGAAGCACCAGACCTCCAGCTGGTGAGGTTTGGCCCCAGGGAAAACCTGCCCATCTCAGGAAAAACTGAGAACAGAGCTTTCCAGGTGATGCCAGTTGCCAGCGTTAAGAACTTGGTTGGTGGGCAGTTGGGTAAGAACCATAAAATAAATACAAAGCCTTGTAGCCAGAAGACAGCCTCTGAGACGGGCCTCAGAAAGGCCAGAAAGAAAAAGAAAATGCGAGAAGTGTGTGATGAGGTGTTGCTGAAAGTGCTGTAGCACCGGGAGAACAGATATAGCTCTAGCTGCAGTGACCCGAAAACTAAATAGGACTGGCCTCCCCAACTCCATCGGATCCTGAGTGGAGGAACTGTGTATGTGGCCTTGCCCAAACACAATGTGCTCTGAATCTACAGTGAGAAAAGAGCGAGTGTCTATTCTCTGGCTCCTTCCCTAACCTTAGATTTGGGGGGAGGAGGGTAGAGGAGGGAAATAAATTAGGAAAGGAATTAACATTTGTTGCTGCCCTCTGTCTGCCAAACACTTGACATGTGGGAAACCATGATGTGATGGAGGCATTATTTTACAGATAAGGAATCTGAGGCTCAGAGAAATTTCCAGTCGCGTGTCTGATTCCAGACTTTGGTGGTTATGAGTTAAAGGGACAATGTGTCCCTCTAACCCCTCTGTCTCTTATTTCTTTCTCCCAAAGGCCAGGCCCCTCAGCCCCCATGCATTCACCAAATAAGGTGCCTAATTCGGGGGCAGGGAGCCTACCAGTGAGGCAGCCCAGTCGCCCAGGGCACATGCTTATAGCCAAGTATATAAAGCCCAAATAGTCCTGAACTATTTAAGATGGAAACACTGTGGCTCTTCATATTGGAAGCCCCCATGCCCAACCGTTGCTTAATAAATAAGAGTTGAGTGAGGAAATGATGGAGCTGATGGAGTGCATGGTGGTGGGGAGGCAGCTGTAAGTCATTGTCAAGGGAGACTCAGCAGGGAGAAATACAGAGATTCTTATGTTTGTCTGGGAACTTGGAGTTCCTGGTGTCATACTCCATCTCTAGCCCGGGGTAGGTCCAAGATGACAAACTCTTGTGACATGGGCAAAGAGCATTCCCATTTTGTAGATGAGGAAACTGAGACTAAGACTGCTTAAATAATTAGCCTGAGGTCTGCGGTAGGACCAAAAGATGGGTGAGGGATTTCTGACTCTGAATGTCTCAAATAAATAGATTCTCAATAAAAATGAAATGAAGTCTTGCTATACAATTGAATTGTGTAAGCAAGTCCCTTAGCTCCTTTCCAACCAGATGGTAGCCTTTAACCGCCCAGAAACTCTGGAGCTGCTGGGAGAGCCAGGATATGAATCCATATAGGATTCCGCTGCCTCCCTGATCAGAATATGAGGGGGACCTCCAAGAATGAGGCTCTCAAGGAGGGGGAAAGATGGCTAATTGCACTCTCCCCTGCACAAAAGCCGGCATGGGATTCTGAATTAAGCTTGATTTGGGGATCAGGGTGACATCTTTGCTATAGAGTTGGCAGCTCTTGTCTTTGGAGAATGCCTCTGATTACCACTTCTCCCTCCCACCTGTTCGTCTGCCCGGATGCCCATCATCTCATTCTTTCCAGACTCGAGGCGTCTCCTTTGTGGCTCAAAATTTTTCATGAGCTTCTTAAGTCCACCGCTCTCCTGTGCTCTGATGGCAGCTGGTGAGGAGGTGATTTTGGTGGTCACATTCATACTTCTGGATTTTGCACATGACCCTCCTTCCCTCTCCAGCCAGCAGCACACACACAAACACACATACACGCACAAACACAGATGCATGTAATTTGATCATGTTTCTTTATCTGCTTCACCAAATTAGATTGCAAACCCAGAATTGTTATTGAAAGATCGAACGTGACTTTGGTGATCTTCTGTCCCAGCCCCTGCCTTAAACAGATCCGAGGAGGTAAGTTGGAGGTAGCTCAACCAACAGATGCATTGAGCAATGATTATATGTGCTGGCCTTCTCACTGCCATGGAGCAGCCTCCCCACAGTGTAGGCATGGGCCCTGAGCCTCTCAGAATAGCCCGTTTTAATCTCCCCTTAGAGATGGAGGTGGGCTTCCAGAGTATCCCAGTCCTTACAATTCCCATTGCTGCTGTAATTCTTAGCTCCAGTAACTTGATGGCCCACCCTACTCTCACTCGTCACTCTTTCTTCCTGCAGCATTTTGGCCTTTCAGCACTTCATTACCTATGAGAATTGGTTATGATGAAGAAAATGTTCTGTATCTGCACCGTCCCCTATAGTAGCCACTAGTTCCGTGTGGCCATTAAGCAGTCCGAAGGTGGCTAGTTCACAGTAGGATGTGCTATAAGGATAAAACAGGTGCAGGATTTCTAAGACTTAGTACCAAAAAAAGAATGCAGAATGGCTCATTAATAATTTTATATCGATTACAAGGTACAATGATAATATTTTGGATATGTTGGTCATATAAGCTGTAGTATTAAAATGAGTGTCACCTCTTTCTTTTCATCTTTTTTAATGTACCTACCAAAAACTTAAAAAAAATTTTTTTTTAGGGGTGCCTGTGTGGCTCAGTCGGTTGAGCATCTGACTTTGGCTCAGGTCATGATCTCATGGTTCGTGGGTTCAAGCCCTGTGTCGGGCTCTGTGCTGACAGCTAGCTCAGAGCCTGGAGCCTGCTTCGCATTCTTTGTCTCTCTCTCTCTCTCTCTCTCTGACCTTCCCCTGCTCATGCTGCCTGCCCCCCCCTCAGAAAGAGAGAGAATAAGTGGGGGAGAGGCAGAGAGAGGGAGAAAGAGAGAGAGAGAATAAGTGGGATGGGCATACAGAGAGGGAGAGAGAGAATCCCAAGCAGGCTCCACGTTGTCAGCACAGAGCCCGATGAGGGGCTCAAACTCATGAACCATGAGATCATAATTCGAACCGAAATCAGGAGTTGCATGCTTAACTGACTGACCCCCCCCCCCCCAGGTCCCTCTGTACCTACCAGAAATGTTTAAATGACATATCTGTTGCCATTAGGCAGTGCTCTCTAGAGCAGACTAACCACAAACCTGTGCCTTCAGCCTCACAGTACCTCTAGGTATTTTAGGGACATAAACCCTGTGTCTCCGTGGCGGATGGGAGGCATGAGCTGACTCAATAACCACAACAGCCTGGCGTCAGGCAACTTTGATTTTCGGTAGCTCAGGTGTCACTGTGGGTGGGGAGGTGCATGATCAAGCCTCTCCATGC